CCTATGCTTGTTTACCTTTATCCTTTTCTAGCTAGGGTCACAAGGCGAGACTTACCCAAGAAAGAATTAGTTTGACCAATAAATAGTAGGTAGGACAGATAAAATGAGACAGAGAGAATAATAAATTTTTATATACTCATTATATATATATATATATATATATATATATATATATATATATATATATATATATATATATCGTATCAAATGCGAATGATAGTTTAGGTGAAAAATAGGGTTTAATCTCATCCATTGATATAATTGAAATTTTATAAAGAGAAAAATATAACACACCAAAAATATAATAAGTTGAATAACTTTCATTTTTGATACATAAATTGTTTCGATTATACATCTTTGTTCCTTCAAGTGCTCAATTTAGCCTTCGAGTGCACATTTTTGTGTATTCAAGTGCACAATTTTGAGCCAGTGCATAATTTTGGCCATTAAGTGCATATCTTTATACCTTCAACTCTTCCAGTTCACAATTTTGGCATTAGAATGCATATTTTTTGTCTTCAAGTGCACATTCTTGTATAAAAATTTTATTTTAAGAGTTAATGATCACATTTCTCCACACTTTCGCATGAGAAGTTGTCTTCGCATCTGATCTAATATATATATATATATATATATATATATAGAGAGAGAGAGAGAGAGAGAGAGAGAGAGGTTCCAATAAGAACACTTGCTTAGGTGAGAACGTGAGAACAAATCGTGTGCATCCATCTAATATTTTTTAATTGTCTAGATTAGATTAAGTGTGTGCAAACGTGAATTAAATGTGTGCAAACGCACTTAATCGCGTTTGCACACATTTAATTCGTGTTCACACACACTTAATCTAATCTAAACCATTAAAAAAAAATATTAAATGAATGCATACAATTTGTTCTCACGCTCTCACCTATTCATTTACCGTATTTAAATAATCTTTTACCCCAAATTTTTTATGGCAAACCTAATGCGTGTGTAATTTCAAAAGTTTGGGAAGGCCTAAGTACCCTAGCCCTCCACTCCCCCCCCCTCCCCCCCCACCCCCCTAACTCAATCTTTGATTGCAATAATCAATAGGTAATTAGGGATGGGAATTGTAATTCAATTCGCAAGTATTTACTCTTCTTCTTGAATTTAACTTTGCAATTATATCGTGCATCATGGTACACAAACCTTTATGGGTCAAGGTTAAAAAATGACGTTGTTTCTTTAAGTAAGACACAGCTGCCGTTATGAGCTATGTTATATTTGTTATATTTAATTCTCCTGTATAGTTAGTTAGTTTGACTTAGCATCCCTAAACTATAGGAGTAGGTTACATATGTTTAAACTCCTTTAGGCTTTGTATCACTAACTGTTAATGTTGAGATTAATCAATCGATCAATTCACTTGTTCATCTGGTATCAGTTAGCCAAAACAACAATCTCACCCTACTTTCTCTCCTCAAACGTTGACCTCCTCAGTTCCACATGTCGACTAACAGCTCCGAGCGCACGGTGACCACCACCACCGCCGCAGCTCCGATCACCACCAACCCTTTGTCCATCGCCGTTACCGCTTAACGGATCCCGTATTTTTGGTGTGTTGTTAATTACAAAATGAAACTACAGTGTATCTAAAATGAAACTGCCTCACATATTGTTATTATATAATCAAATGAAACTGTAGTTGAATTGAAATGAAACTGTAGTTGTGCTGAAATGAAACTGCAGTGTATATAAAATGAAAATGAATAACAGTTTCACATATTTGAGTGTATATTGTCCAGTGAAACTGTAGTTATATCGAAATGATACTGTAGTTGTGTTGTAATGAAACTATAATGTATATAAAATGAAACTGAATAACAGCTTCACATATTTGAGTGTATATTTCGAATGAATTGAAAATGTAGTTATATCGAAATGAAACTGTAGTTGTGTTGAAATGAAACTGCACTGTATATAAAATGAAACTAAATATGTTATACAAACAGAGTTATTTTTTGCGAAACGGAGCGAAACATCTGCTGTTTCTTTTCATTAAAAAAAATGACACCGTTTTGATGCCTGGACTACAATACATTGTGGACCCCAGTTCACAGTAAAATTTGCCAATTTAGCTAATGTAGATCATTTTTTAAAATGATCAGAAGTGGGTTTTAAAATGTGCACTGATTGTTGGTTTGAGTCGGGTTTGAATTTGTATATATCATCCATTAAAAATTCATCCAATAAAAATGAGTAGGTATTCGTGATGCGTACCCACACACTACTGGAAATTATGGAATTTCTGACCACCTGAAAGTAATCTTAAATCAAATTGATACCAAAAAGTGGTCTGAAATAGCAACAAAGGTTTTTCCGGATACCAAAAGTGATCGGAACAAGGCTTTTGACTTGATTTAAGATCACTTTCAGGTGGTTGGAAATTCCATAATTTTCAGTAGTGACACCCAATGAAGTGGCTGGATGTGATATATTTAGCCACTTAATACATGGTTAATTTTAACTATATATAGCTTATTTTCTTAAATAGGTTAAAAGTGTTGAAAAAATCATATTAAATTATATTGATACTCTTATACGGTAAGTATTTAAAAGAGTATTATATGACTTTATTCAATTTAATTAATACAGAGTATAATTTAATTTTGATTAATATGGATCTTACACTTTTGAAATTTATTAGATTATAGATAAAGATTAATGCCATTAATTCAAATTTAATTTCTAATGTAGTTGTTGATATAATGATTATATGTCAAAAATTCGGCACATTATATTAGTTATGTCAGTATGGTTAATAATGGTTTCTATTAACAACTCTGTCGGGCCGGGGTGTGGGGGCCCTTAGGGTTGGGGTTCAGCCTTTTGAAAGAATGGTTTCTATTAACAATTGCATGGATTATTTAGTTGGTTTTAGTCAAGATAAATATAGAGTAGAGTAGTGGTTTTAATTTGCATCATCTTTTAGAAAGTTTGAGGATATGCCAATGACTTTACTTGTGGTCTAGTGGCACGAAGTGACTCTCCCAAATAGAAGGTATTGACTTTTGTGCTTCAATAGGTTGAGAAAAGTAGTTATGAACATATACTATATTATGTTTCGGGCATTCAGATTAGCTTAGCAAGATGTTGTGTTAATTGTATTGATTGTTTACTTTCCTTGTTCTTCTTGATTTTTGTCAACTTATTTGAATTCAAATGGAAGATGTGTTTCATTTCACTATTTTCGCGTTTTTTGTAGTGATTTATTATTATTTATTATATTCAATATGTCTCTTTGTTAGCCATATTATATTAGTGTTATTAAATGTAACATTATATTAGTTTAGTTAGACTTTGATTTAGTCAGTAACTGCTAGCTAATGTATAGAGATAGTTAAGCTAGTCATCTTTGTCTATTGTATCTCTGTGTAACTGTTGGATTAACCAATCTACGCAAACTATTCTCTAATCCTCTTTAGGATCAATCATGCTCGGAAATGACTCGGATCTTGTTGCCTCTCTGCTGCGTCAGCTCTCTACGACATTCAAGATTCGTGACTTAGGGACTCCCAGCTTTTTTCTTGGTATTGAAACAGTTTCTTTTGAGGGCGGTCTTCTGCTGTCTCAGCTCCGCTATATGGATGATATCTTACATTGGGCGGGGATGGATGTCCGACTGCAAACCTCTATCGACACCTGCGGCTCTCATTCAGGCCACATCTCCAACCACTGAACCCTTCGAAAACCCCACTCAGTATCGACGACTCGCTGGGGCTCTTCAGTATCTCACCATCACTCGGCCAGATCTTTCCTATGCTGTCAACCGACTATGTCAGTTCATGCATGCACCAAATTACGAGCACTGAGGTCTACTCAAGCGAGTGTTACGCTATGTTAAGGGTACTTTGTCATACGGGTTACGGCTTATGGCGTCACCATCTACAGACATTCATGCCTACTCCGATTCTGACTTGGTCGGGTGTCTTATCGACAGGAAATCTACCAGTGGGTATGCTGTCTATCTCGGTTCGAATTTCATTTCCTGGGTATCTCGCAAGCAGCGTACTGTCGCGCGATCGTCTACCGAAGCTGAGTACAAGGGTATTGCTAATGTGGCGGCTGAAGTCACATGGGTCGTATCTCTCCTCCGGGAACTAGGGCTACATTCTAGGTCTCCTGCAACGTTATGGTGTGACAATCTCGATGCAACTTATATGTGTGCTAATCCCGTTTTTTACGCCAGAACTAAACATATGGAAATTGACTACCACTTTGTCCGGGATAAAGTGGCCTCAGGGGACTTCCTTGTGAACTTCATCTCAACCAAAGACCAGCTAGTAGATATCTTCACGAAGCCGCTTCCTGCGGCTCGGTTTACTACTTTGCGCGACAATCTCAATGTTCTTGCTTCACCACCTTGTGCTTGAGGGGGAGTGTTAGCCATATTATATTAGTGTTATTAAATGTAATATTATATTAGATAGTTAGGCTAGTCATCTTTGTCTATTGTATCTCTATGTGACTGTTGCATTAATCAATCTATGCAAACTATTCTCTAATCATCTTTAGGATCAAATTCATGAATTTTTGTAAAAATAGGGTGGACAGAACCATGACCTTTTGCATACGTAGGAGTGGACCGAACTCATGACCTTACTTATAGGTAAGAGTGTGAGAATGTATTTTATCTCAACTAAAAGTCTAAGTAATAGATAGACTGTACATACATACATACATATATATATATATATATATATATATATATATATATATATAATTTCAATTTTGGTCCACTGACTATTGGAATTGTGTTAATTGCAACACTTACTTTCAAAAATGTTAATTTAGTACTTTGACTATGCAATTTCTATCAATTTTGGTCACGCCAGTCAAATTGCCGGCCAAATGTCACCGAAAAAATTTAATAGGTCAAATAATGAGGGTATTTTAGTCATTTTACCCATTTTCTTTCTTCTCCGATGAGCTTCTCCATTTCCGGCGACGTTCTTCTCCCTATCGATGTGTCTGTGTAAATGCCAACGCCTTCATGTATGAACATGGTGCGGGAAGAGAGCTGCGAAGAATCTTGATTTGCCGACCGACTCAATATTCCCGTCCCGTTCCCATTTTGCTCCATTCAAGCACATATTTTTCTTCTTCTTCCTCGTATAATCGCTGCCATTTCCCAGAAAAAGAAGGCCCCAAAAAAACTTCCAGAATAAAGAGAAACAGTTTCCAACGACTGCAGATGAAGCTTTGTCCTGTTTCGGGAACATACCCAGCCTTTTCTTGATTCTCCGTTCACTTTTCTTTTTCCGGCTTATACTGTAACTTCACTGTAGAAGCTTTCAGAGGTTTTTGGTAGATGTGGGCTCGTTCAGTTCATGAACAAAAACAAAATCATATGGAAGAGCTCCGGAATTCATCGTCAATGGCGGCTCCTTCAGAAGGAGAAGCGTCCGCTCAGCTCACTGTTGTATCCAAGAGAAGGCGAAGCCTTCCCGGAACGCCTGGTAATTTTTGTTGCTCGTGATGTTCGGAAATGGTGGGGTTTTGTTTTAATGGCGACTGTGTTTTGCAGATCCGGATGCGGAAGTGATAGCTTTATCGCCGAAATCTCTGCTAGCGACGAATAGATTCGTGTGCGAGATCTGCAGCAAAGGGATATAGCGGGACCAGAATTTGCAGCTTCACCGGCGTGGCCACAACTTGCCGTGGACGCTGAAGCAGAGGGGCGGCAAGCCCAAGAGACGCGTTTACGTCTGCCCGGAGAAGAACGTCGCCGGAAATAGAGAAGAACGCCATCGGAAATGGAGAAGGAAGAAAGAAAATAAATGACTAAAATACTCTTATTATTTGACCTATTAAATTTTTTCGGTGAGATTTGGCCGATAATTTAGCCTGACCAAAATTAATAGAAATTGCATAGTCAAGGTACTAAATTAATATTTTTTGAAAGTCAAGTATTGCAATTAACACAAGTCCAATAATCAGTGGACCAAAATTGAAATTTTCCCAATACAAATTAATGTATTGTTAATAGTTTAAATTAATATTAACCCTATTCTGATGTACAAAATTGCATTCCTAGCTCCACCCCACAAAAAAAAAATAAAAAAATCAAAAATAAATAAAAACATAGAAGCCCTAAGAATCAATTCATAAATTTACTGCATGTGCATGCAATAAGAATTGTAAGATGGCATCAATATTTTGCCCATAAGGTGCGTGTAAAATATTGCATATTTCTTCCAACTTAACTACAATTTTAGACTAGGACTATATGGTCTAATGGTACCCGAGTTGGACTTCAATTTGAAAGGTTGTGAGTTCGAGCCTTAGTGGAGGCATTATTGGCTCTTTGTCTGTATATGAACAGATACTACAATTTAATAGAGAGTTACTTTAAAACCCGAGAATAATTTTAAAAGATTTTTTTTTTAAAAAAAAAGTTGCTTAAACTTAAAGAGATGTTAAAGTGTAAATTCTTTATATAGTACTAGTTTCACGCAAATTATGCTATGGAAACGTGTTCACCATGCCCATGGTGAACGTATATAAGGGTAGATCCATAATTTTTATACTGTAGATTCATTTGTTTTTTTTTTTTTTTTTGAAAACGTAGATTCATAATTTTATTTTTTCATTTGTTGTTACAGATATTATGAATCTACAGTACAAAAATTATGAATCTACCGTATAGAAATTATGAATCTACAGTACAGAAATTATGAATCAACAGTACAGAAATTATGAATCTATAGTATAGAAATTATGAATCTACAGTATAGATGTTATGAATCTACAACTTAGAAATTATGAATCTACAGCTTAGAGATTATGGATCTATCCCGTTAACAACAAATGAAAAACAAAATTATGAATCTACGTTTTCAAAGAAAAAAAAAATTATGAATCTACACTATAGGAATTATGGATCTACCCCTGTGTTCACCATGCGCATGGTGAACACCTTTCCACAGCATAACTAATGTGCATGGCAATTTATATCATGGATCAAGCTCCACATAGCATTATGGACGCTGAATCAAAATGATGATGTACAAAAATCATACTCATAAGGTACAGAATTGCATAACACAAGACACAAAAAAATTATAACACAAGACACATACCAATGTTATATTTACTTATTTTTCAAATATGATTTATGTAACAAAATTTGTGTTCATAGGCATAGAATTTCACAACACAAACACAGAAATTCATAGCATAAGACACAACTACTAATTTGTTTCAGGTACATAATTCATACTCTTAAAGTATAGAATTTCATAACACAAAATACAAAAACTCACAACATAAAACGCATACACGTGCACCAGGATCCACAGTGTATTGTGAACATACCTTGGTCCATGGTATAAGGATCCGGGATTTATAGATAATATGAGAAAATTAGAATTAAGCCCATAGAGCCAGGAATCAATTGTTATACTATGGACTGGTTCATATTGCATTGTGAACCATGGTCTAAAAATTATGTGTCTGTAGATAACATATTTTGTATTTACAATTAACAATTTCTGTACATGTAAACAAATTTAAGGCACATAACATGGTAATTAAGATGTTGGTTAACATGTTATGTGCACATGTAAACAAATTTAAGGCACATAAGATGTTGGTTAACATGTTATGTGTCACCTGTTAACACAATCTATGCCTACGCGCAGTTAACAATTTATGTCTTTAGTTATCATGTTATGTGTTTGTAATTATCATGTCATGCGTCTTCAATTTGTTTACAGGTACAGAAACAGTTAACTACATGTACAAAATGTATCAACTGCAGACACAAAATGTCAAAATCGAAAAGTTATTTTTGAACTAGAGTCTACAATGCAAGGTAGACCTTGGTCCATGTTATAATTTGCCGTCAGATTGGAAAACTTATATGTTTTATTATCGTGCATTCTACTATCTATCTTGTAAGATGGTTCTGATAAAAGTTTATTTTTAGTATATTATATATTTATTTTTAATAAATTTATTATATCTTAATATAGATTTATTTTTAGTGTAATGCAAGTCAAAATAAACAAGTATCAAATATTGGTCTTGTTACGTTGACACTGGTCCACGGTACAAACATTGTGTTTTATTCACACATTAATCCTGCTTGGATTTAGGTTTCAACTTTAATATGTTATATTCGAGTTTTATTTTATTAAAAATAAAATAAAACTAATTTTACTATTGATTCAAATTAATTTTTTTTTTGAATTTAATTAACTCAATAGTTTGGGTGGTTGGTAAGTAGGTTCTTGCTAATGCAACCGTAAAATTAGAACTTCAAATTTTGTAAAAGGTCTGCCATATTGAAGAGCTTTAGGTCAGGGTTCTAGGTAGGTATGCAAAATAAAATAAGACTAATTTAATTTTACTATTGATTCAAAATTAAAGATCAATTTGGAAACTCAGAAAATCTTTTATGAAAAATGATTTTTAAAATATGACACATTTTACATTAAATATTTTTATCTTTTAGTGTTTGGTTGAAAGTTTTTTTTTTTAAAAAAAAAACAAAAAAAAAAACGATCTCTTTTCTGTTTGATTGAAAATTCAAAATTTATATTTTTCTTGTTTTGTTCATTTTCTGATAAATGAATAGAAATTTATCACAATGTTATATATTATAAAACTAGTATTTTCTATGCGCGATGCGCAAAAATATGTGCTCAATATTATTAATTTATATTAAAATCTTAAATTTATTTAAATTTTAGATATTCATATTATTGTAAATAATAATAATAATGTAAAATATTTTTTTATAAATTTAAAATTTATATTTTAGAAAATAACTAACATATAACTCCAATATAATGTGTATATATTATTACTCCGTATTATTGAAGAATATAAGAAAATATATGGTGGATGCGTGTGCATGGTAATAATAGAAAAATAACGGAAGTTACAAAGGTAGGGGTATGTTTGTCTAAAATATTGTATAGTACAACTCTTATAGCATAATGTATTAAAAAATGGTAAACAAAAAACAGACATAAATGAATTGTATAACCTTCATTCACACTTATTAGTTTTTAAATTAGATATTAATTATTTTAATGGTGATAATACTTATTATTTATATTAAAATAAAGTTACAAATTAAAATGTATAATATAGTTATAACGATTAACAGTTATTATAATAAAAATGTGTAAATAATTTTTTTTTTTTACTTTTAACTTATTATAACCAAAATAAAAACATAAAAGTGATAAATATAATAACCTAAAATAAAAAAAAATAAAGAAAAAAACTTATGCTTTAAAAAAAAAAATTGGATGCGGAGTTTCACCATGCCAAGATTTTTATTGTTTAGTTTTGCTCAATCAATATTTAATTGGGTATTGATAAATATAATAACTTTAAACTTAATAAATTGAATACTTATTTTTTACAATTTTTGAGTTGTGAGTCAATCATAATTTTTATTGTTTGGTATAATTCAAACCAACTCATATTTAATCGAACATTGATAAATGCAATAACTATATATTAAAAAATTTGAAGAAAAAAAATCATTTTTTATCTTTTAGGCAAGGTCGGACTAATATTTTTTTTGTTTGACTCAGCCTGACATAATCCATATTTTAATTATGTTAGTTCGATCATGTTCAAATAATAACTAGATGGATGGCATGTCAACTTGCCATTTGACAGTTTTTGTTGAGTTCATTTTCCTTTTTATAGCCAAACATCGAAAAATGAATTTCAAAAGACATTTTCAGAATTTTCAATCCCATTAGCTGAGGTGTTGACAAAAATCAAATGCGTGACATTGAAATTGAAGAATTATATATGCTCCACCCATTAACCTGCCACTTTCAAGATAACGTTTTCAGTTTTAATAACCAATTATGGTTTGTTTCACTTTTAGTCTTAAGTATTCAAATATTTTCCTTTTTATTTTGATTTGATCATAGATTTTCTCAATCAGTCATTAAAAGTAAAATTGAACCAAATTTAAAATTTAAAATTAAGTTATCATTATAATTGAGCTAATCGTGTGCGTTTTTGTCCTCAAATTGTGTCACTTGCATAAGTTGCATTCATCGGCATTCTGCTATAAATTCTAACCGGGACTTTTTTTAAAAAAAGAAATAATTGCAATTTTTCTGCAGTAAGTTTAGTCTCTAATTACCATAAATTGCAATTTTGATCTTTTATTTAATCATAAAAGTAGATATTTTAACCCTCCGAAAGACCAAAATAATCATTTGTAAAAGTTACAGTTTTGGTTTTAATTAATATAAGGGAAAATTGCATATTTGGTCTATGAGTTATACCCAAGTTCCGACTCAGTCCTGAGTTATGACTGTATCTATTTTTAGTCCCTCAGTTATGAACGAAGTAACACATTTGGTCCCCAACCGTTAAAACTGACGGATTAATTAAAAAATATTTAAAATTTGAGGGGTAAAGTAGAAAATTCACATTTTATTCTCCTTATATCAAAACCACTTTCACAACATTATTTTTCACTTTTTAGTCTCTGCAATTCTAAAAACATTTCAATAACTTTAGTATGACTTAGGAACCTAACTCTCGTATAACAAGCTTAAGACTTAGCACAAAGAAACAAACACTTGATCATTGTCTTTAGACGTGTGAAACACACTACATCCTATTAATTTTTAATTTTCTCTACTAAGCAACAAAGGTAATCAAACCAGAACTTTTGAGATACAAAATGATGTCAAATTTTTTAGGTTGTTTTTATGAGAAATTCAC